TATAGCCGGAAATAAACTATAGGTGCTTGCTTTAGTGCTCACGAACGAAGAGCTTATGATTGAGAAACCAAGGTTGGAGAGTTTTCTGGGGCGAATTGACTACGTAACTCTGATTTACTACTTCGTGTGTTATGCGGAGTATCCATAAGAACATACTAACTTGTTTTGAAGAATCACCCACTACGACATCCTGGCAGAACTGGTTGGAAATGCCAGCTGGGAGTTTCCGGACTACTGTTCCATTGATAGTGCTTTGTTGGATTTTACTGGCAAGTCCATTGATATGATCAATTCTTTATCGGACAACAAGCCACTTTTTCCGCATCGGCACAATCATTCATTCGGAGTAGAACCCGAAAACATATGACAGTAAGAGACGCCGCGTGGCATGTACATAGAGCGAACGCTAGCCGTGACAGCTGGAGTAACTTTGTTGTGCATCGTAATCACTGTACCACACCTGTGCGCGAGAATAAATTAGTGCACCAGCAGAGTGTAGCGGAAAACTTTTGTGCTAACAAGAAGCTTCTGTACAGATATGTAAACAGCCTCCGGAATGTGAAACGTGGTGTTCCCCCACTACTATCAGCGGATGCATGTGCTCAAATCGCCGAGGGTGCAACCAACGTTCTACGGCTACAATATGCACCGACGTGCTCCAAGCATTTGTAACATACCTGCCCCATTCTCCCAGATGCCAGTATTTACACACGTCACGATTAGTACAGTGACCATTTTGAAGAAGCTGCTATTGTTGCACACCAATAGTTCCCCTATAGTTGACAACATTCCCCCGAAAGCACTGTAGGTGACAGCTACGAGGATAGCTGAACCATTAACGAAAATTTTTCCAAAGACGTCTGGACGAACAGCAGATCCATAGCATATGGAAGCAAGGCATTATTATCCCGATTTTCAAAAGCGGTAGCCGTTCAGAGCCAGCCAACTATCGCCCAGTGACTCTAAGGTGATGGCATCGATCATAGCTGAGGCTTTAACGGGCTACTTTGAAAGGTCCAACATCATAGCACCGGAGCAACACGGATTCCGTCAGCATCGCTCATGTACTACCAACCTACTGCTTGCCCGTGCCGGTTGGACCGAGATAGCCGACAGTGGAACCGACATTGATGTCATCTACCTAGTCTTTTCCAAAGCATTCGACCGCATAGATCACCGCATCCTTCTCTAAAAGCTGCAAGCGTACGAAGTTGGAAATCCTGTCCTTGGATGGGTCGGAAACTTTCTCTTTCAGCTGCGCCTTCAGGTTTGAGTTCGAGGTTCATTTTCTGATCAATTGGTGTGGACTGCAGTAATCAAAAAGAGTCAGTGTTGGGGCCGCAGTCATTTTTGTTATTCCTTAACGACCTTGTGGGTGTCATCAAATCAAATTTCCTACTTTTTGCCGATGACATCAAGATATGGAAGACAGTCGACTGTCATGAAGTCACGATGTGTTGCAACGAGACAGACTACGCTTTTAAATGGTCAAAGCTATATCTACTTCCGTTTAACACGAACAAGTGCAAAACCGTGCATGTCCGCCACAAGCCCACGTACGCATATAAGTTTGGAGACGATATGCTGAACACGGCTTCACAAGAGCGAGACCTTGGGGTGGTAAGCCAAGACGACCTCGGTTGTTCGGCGCAGTCCTTGAATGTGTCCAAAACTGCGAACCAACATGTTGATCTGTTACACAGGGCGTTCGGTTCGATCCCTCTATCTTCCCTCAAATGTTCCCCCCAAATGTTCGACCACTCGGCCACCGGCCATAAGGTCACCGGTTCGAGTCCGCATAGGGGTGGGTGTCCTGGCGGTATACTCAGCCCGCGCACGACTGGTGGTGGTCGCGCGGCAGCGAAGCTCCGTTACGGCGTACAGCTGACATATTATTATTATTATTGTTATTATTATTATTATTGGAGTAGAGTATCTAGGGTATGCGATCCAGGCTTGGCAACCCTGGTTAAAACGCTACCTGATTGCACAGGAGACCGCACAGTAACGGGCAACGAATAATGTGGAGCGGTTGTCCCATCTGCGATATCATAGGCAACTGAATGCCCTAGGAGTGCAAAGCGGACGATATCGCCGTCTACGGGGTAACCTTATCCTGACGTTCCAGATTTTTAAAAACGCCGGTCACGCTTACCGCCATCTCCTGAAGCCTAGCTGCAACACAGAATTGAGGGGTCATAAATTGAAACTTGCCACCCAATGCAGACGGCTTAAGTGCCGCCGGAATTATTTTCCCCTTCGAGTTGGACAACTGTGGAACGCTCTTCCGACTTTTGTTATTTCCTCGCCCACGCTACCCATTAAAAAAACGACTCGACGATGCTTTGCACCATTTACATTACTTGAGCTGATTTCTGTTCATTGAGTGACGACAAGACGCAGACAAACATGTGCTCACCAACCCCACGAAATCGGGTTAGACGGATATACCTGTGTTAACGTGGATAATATGGTGAACCCACAAGTGTGTTTTTCACTTTTGTGTAACTTTATCGAACTAACGTTATCTCCACAAACCATCCTACGGGACTTGTCAAGCGTTGGCCTTTTTATCCGTATTATACCATTGTTCCATTGTAACAGACCGATCACAATTCGATCGAAAACTGGTATACAAAGATTACTTGCCTTAGTCAGTGTTTTGTAAGGGTTTAAACAGCAATAAGCCTCATCTAACTGCAGTTTATGTCGTCACTGAAATCATTTACAATAGATGTCTCTTCACCAAACCACAAGTAATCGACGACTTCAGAGGAAGCCAATGACTAATTCCTTGATGCCAGATACTCGCCCACTAGGGAAGGATTCATCATCGTTCAATTATTTTTGTTGGAATCTTTTTTATGCATCTATTCTCGACGGGGACATAAAAAACTGGTAGTAGTAGCCACACCACAGCGTTGCAAGCGCTCCTCTTGCCAATGAGTTTACAATCCACTTTCTTCTTAAGTGACAGAGACTTTGAATGGTCGCAGGAGCTTTGGCAATGCGTTTTCTGATACAGCCAACCAAGTAAGTACACTTATCGACAACTTCCTTTGGTTATTTGGGGGTGTTGGTGAGATTAGAAAGTTGATCAGCCAAGTTCAGTGACACTTGCAAATGCAACACCCATAAGCGCTGTCCGTCATGACCCAAAGGCTTTAGAGGCAGAGAAAAACCATTTGACAGCCTAATAGTCCCGTGTTCGATGCTTGCTATCTCTACCTGATGCGATCGAATAGGTCCGAAAGTGGTCGTACAATGCAATGTTTTCGGGTTGGCCACACCCTATATTCATCCACCATACATGTTACTCAGTAGTGATTGTACCGCAAACTGATCAGATCTAAAGGGTACCTAGTCGTCGTTGTGCTTTAATTTTAACAGTCGGATGCTAGGCAGGACAACTATAAGAGGGCAACATAGTTTTTCATACTCATTTCGGAAGAGATGAACGAGGTCCCTAAGGATCATCACATAGACGTGGGGTTGTATTACAGGAGTTTTCGAAGATAGATACAGGCACCAACAATGTTAATTAACCGTACCAGACACCCTTTAAGGGCTACTACCGATACATGATGTGCTTGAGGTCGTGTTTATCTGTGGCTTGTCATACCTCATATCGCGTATCACTGTACTTTGGAATGAAAAGATCCATCTATGTACCTTTTAGCCTTGCTCCTTGTGGCACCAATAACTAATGCAATCATCTTTTCTGTAAATGGGGCTTTAATGAGTTTATTTTTCCTGCTTTGGGGTAAGAGACTGGGCCACTTTCGTTGTGAAATAGTACAATAATGAACCGTCTTTCCAAATTGATTACGTAACTGCCCAGGTATTCATTCCCATTCTTCTCTATTAATCAGTTATTTTTCTTTGATTTTGTTCACTTTCCCTCCTTCTTTAACTTATTTTTTGGAATGAGTTAATGTAGCTGATTCCATCTTACTTCATAGTTTCCTTTCCGAATCCAATATTAGCATCTCTGCTTATGCCGAGCCTCGTGCTACAACCCGTGCTAGCAGACTCTGCATGGAGCTTGACTTGTAAACTGATATTGCGACCTAGTGAATGTTCAGTGGTTATTTTCCCCAAACGTTTCTAACCAATCCACCCGTCTGAGCGCGGTCATCCAACATTCAGACAATCAAAGTATCACCGTTGACCACCTAGGAAATAAAAATATTGCCTGGTTCATTGGGTATATCAATTCCGACTTTATCACATTTCGATCTTTGTATTTGAACTGATTGCTGTTCATACGAAGTAAGCTTTATCATGACCAGTTTACCTTAGCACTCTATCGGAATTCGATGTTCAAAAACGACCACAGCCCTGCACCACTTCCGCACAACTGGACCCTATCTACATGTCATTGTACTACGAAATGGGGGTGACGCCTTATGTAAAGAATTTGCCGATATGCTTAAAAGTGCACATTGCGATATCGTCCAAATCATCTACGGCAACTCGATCCCACTGACAGTAGTTTAGCTGAACTGCTGCAGCGTTTATGCCCATTAAAAGAGCATCAGTTTGTCTACTTGATATGGTTAGCTTTACATTAAACCTGTCATTTTTGTTAGTAAGGTCCTTGTGATGCATCCGTGCGGGTGACTAAGGTTCCTTGCTGAGCGTTATTGGTGATGCCCCTTTCCTATGCAACTTGTTTGTCAACTTCCATCATTTTTGCTAATTCAAGTTTTCTTTTTGACTCCGACGTTGTAAAGTTATCGTAATTTGCGTGGCTTTGCTAGGTTATTCGTGTGTTATTTTTGTCTACAGAACCCAGCCTTACGTTAAACTTGATCCGAAGCACTTGTCGTACCTCTATTCTTTTAACCTGCAAGGTGTGTGTTACTTGATGTCAGACATCACCTCATAATACTTGCACTTTTTCCAGACCTTTACCAAGGAAACTGGGCATAGCTTTTCGCACTTATTATTTGACACATTTGTGGCCATTACTTGTTGTTTCCTATCATTTACCGCAGGACAAACGGGTCCAGCCCCAGCGGATTTAGCAGAGGTAAGCAGCTTCTTCGATCAATCCCTCTGGTAGCAACACTTCGGTTCTTGTTGTGACATTTTATCTGCACTCGTAGTTTTATAACTTCCGGTTGATGATATCAATGAGGAATGTAGCTGCTAACAAGTAGACAAATGCTTTGCGCCTCTGTCTTCTTATGTCTTATGAAAGCACGCTCATAAATAAGCAAATAAATTTTTTATTCCGGGCTACGCGAGGCACGCCATTAAAGGCACGATTATAGTAGTAGTACAACAGTTGATCAAGAAATGTGCAATAGTATGACAGCACTTTCATACATGTGGATCCATAAATGTAGGTATGTATGTAGGTGTATTGCTTGTGTTTGTAAATGTGTTGCTGTTCTTTTGAATGAATTCGATCGCGTTGCCAGTGTCTAAAGGAATGTTTGATGTCTATACATTTGATAAGATTGTCCGAATAAACAAGGACAGTAACTTTATTTAATAGCGAGTCACAACCTCCACGTCACAGTGTTGTTAAGCAGACTTTTGTGACTTTTTATAGTGAGAACGCTTGTCAGGCGAAAACCCACCACGTCATGGAACACTACCACTGAAACTATTTGTTGGAACGGGTTAAACCCGAACCACCCAGCTGGTACGACGAGGAGGTTGTTCGGTTAGAGAGCTGGAAGTGTTATGGTTAGCTGATTACTACCTGAATATACGGTTGAAGATAGAGTCATCTCGCAAGATGATTGGGCATTAAAGAGGTGACATTTACATCCAACTCCGAAGGGCTGGTATCTGTTTCGATCTTTCAGTCTTGCCTTATTCGGCGAACCGTGTGTCTTTGGCGAATTTCCGTATTTACTTGTCTTCTATTCCTAATTCGTCATGAATCCTTTCGAAGTACAATCTACATGATTTCACTGTCAGCACTCAAGCGGATTCGGTCCATCGGTTGACTGTTATCTTCGATCCCACAGAAAGTCTTGACACGTATCATTCTTTTGCTTCGATTTACAACGACGTTTTGATCTGCGAGATTCTTTCTTTGACTCAGTTAAACAGATGACAAGGAACCCGCCGTTGCGCACTCGTACGCTAACCAATAAGCAGAGCCACACAGACGATTGTCTTTACCTGCTGTGGCCAATGGGTTAGTTCTGCAGGGCCGCTTTCCACTAGCTATCTGGATTGTTTGTTTGATGCTTGACTCTGAATGGACATCACATCACATTCCTCGCGAAATGCTTCTCAGTTTTTGTGATCATATTCCAAGTTTGATGAACCAGCTGTCCCACGCTCACATCTTCGTCCGCTGTTCGGTCTCATGCTAGTGTGCAACATGCTTCGACCGATTAGATTGGTCTCATGCCAACTACTAGGACCGTGTAGGCCACCTACATCTTTTTCACCTTCCACAACATATACAAAAAGCACTCTGGCGCTACTTTAAATGTCACATATATCTCCTGTTAGGGCGCAATTCACTCTTAGCACCACTGCTGGTGTACAGTGGGTCTTATCACGCGGGACTTGGCTTAAAGCAGTGCGGTAACTCGATGAACAATGTGAATTCTACTTACACTGCCCGTTACACCGCATCCGTGGTCTATTGGGCCTCCATAGCCTCTAATCCCAGTTTGTACTGGAAACAAAATGCAGAGTTGTCATCCCGATTTTCAGTGCGACTATTTCCTGGCTCCTCATCGCCCACTTTTAAAACTTTGATGGGTTGACAACTGCTGTACCCATCGCCAGGACAGGATATCATTACCGCTTCTAACGCTAATTGTTCTAGTAAGTACGTTACGCCTCTCTCCTTGTCAAACCATGTCCATTTTCATCTAACACACGATGCCTACGTCCATCGTCTGGCGTTTGATTACTTTCCTGCTAGCTCATCATTGGTTATCTCACTGAACTTGAACCGACTGCACTTTTCGGCTACGTTCCCCATTTGATCGTCAATTGACTATCCGGGTGTATTGTTTACCTGCGGCGTACCTCGTTACTCTGAAATACCAGATGACCAAACGCACAGGAGCATCGAGATCCACCACATCAATTACGGGGCTTACTGTACGATGTATCGACCTAAGGGACCCGCTTGCTCTGTCGCGTTTTATTCCCTCTTCCTCTACCCGACGATTGTGGCTTTTGTTGCTTTTTTTTTGAGTTCTGTTCAGCTTACTGTTTAATGCCTTTATTTTCCATGGCATAGTAACGAAATCTTTCACTTTCTTACATTTGTTATTTTCTACTTCTCTTACGGTCTTTTACCTTTCTCCTTCTCTGTATATCTTTATCATTTTCCCCTTCATCTCCTTCAGTCGTTATTAATCAGTATCTTCATTTTCGTGGTAACTGGACCTATCCCAATTCACTGCTGAGTTAATAATTGTTCACTTCAGTTTAGCTGACCCGCGCCATCACTACTGCCACTTTTGTGCATCCTCTTCGCGGCATCACTGTGCGACATTCTGTCCAAAGCGAAAATCTTCATCACCATCTGCAGCGTAATACGAACGGTCCGGAGTGGGTCACCGTTGCCTTAAATAGCATCTGCTCGTAGAGTTGTGGAAAGCGATCATCGCTTGTTCGTTTTGGCCCAAATACTGCATTTGCTGCAATGTACCATTCGTTTGTATTGGCCATGGGTAAGTGTAGCTTGTCAATCGAGGTCAAGTGTGTTATTGTGCTTGCTTAAAGGCGGAAGCGCTGGCGGGACGCACACGTCCATACATGGTTTATGCACATACCCGACGGCAAGGCTTTGTGAGATAAACTGACCTGAAGCTGCCTCTTACCTCCTACTCCTTGAGGCATTAACTGCTCGTATGCTCTCTCGGTTTCTTCTCGCTGCCTCTGCACACTACTGTACTCCAAACTGTTCCACTCCTCCGGAATAAGCTTGGAACCGATTTGCATTCCATAACTTCGGAAGATTCAGAATACAGTGACATAATACAAGTACCTACAAAAGGACTCTGTATTCTGTAGCTTCTTCAATTATGTCCCATTGTTTTCACATAACATAGCGACAGCACCTGCCTTCAATTCGTAATGTGACTTCGAGACCGTTACGATGTACATCTTAATTTAATAAGAACACTTGGATCTTGCCAGTTTCCCACTCTCCATGGGTTGTGTAGCTGGACCATTTAACGTGCAGTCATGATGTGACATTTCTCATTACCTTATCATTCAACCGCTTCGTTTTATCTTCATACGCAGCGGACGGCGATTGCTTCTCTTTCGCAGCGTTCGGTTTAGCCAACGAATTATTCGCAATCGATCTCTTTTTTGTCTCTTTCTGCGCTGCATTCTTTCTACCCCTCCTCCGCGTCACATGATAGTTCTTCGTTGTCACTGGGCTCATCATTGTTCCTCACATACCAGACACATTGCCTTCCTCTAATTTATTCAGCAACGTTTTTGACTGTGCTTATTTTTGGCTTCTATAGGGGATTCTTTCAGAAGAGTCAGCAGTTTATGGGTTTTCCCTCATAAACACGTGTGACCACCGTCCGAAGTGTTATTTCACACGATACTTAGAAATAATTTGCCGTAATATCGTCGGAATTCGTGTGACAAATCGACAGTTTACTGGTGTGTCGACCGATTTCACACCATGCACTCCAATTCCTTGCGTTCTAGTGCTTCAGCCGATCCTACAATTGTTACTGGTCCACACCTTTTGTCCATCTCTTTTGCCCGCTTTTTGACTTGTTTCAATCAGTGTTTTACGAAACTGAAATTATCAGATAAACTGCATCGGATTCACCTCTTGGGGCACACACATGATCCCTTCCTATTGAAGTATCAAGTATATGAAGCTGATACACCACTCGAACATATAATGCCAAGGAGAGTATTCCTCATCGGTAATTCCCTATATCCACTCCGAAGATTAGCCAACTGAATGTATTAGTTCCTGTTGTGTAGCCATTTACTCATTTTCACAGGGACTTGACCTGACGGCGGATCCTGTTTACCACACGTATCGCGACTTGACACCTACGGCCAAAGAGAGACGAGTATGCACTATTTCAGATACCAACTATCGATCGGCACGATGCGTCTGCGTTTTATACAAAAAGCCCCGTGCCTTCATGATGTCACGCGTTGCTCACACGACTCATCTCGTACATCGCTACCTTCACATCACGCGACTGCGCTCATATTGAGCGTGTATATGCAAGCATTGCTTTTCGATCTACAGCACAGGCTTAATATGCTGCATCTAACCAACACCGCCGAAACTTCCACTATCGCAATGATGTTGTTGCTTAGTCGGCGACGCGTATTATTACACGGCTTCCATCCGTAGCCGTATCAGTCACTCACAACCCCTCTGGCCTCTTTTCAATTCGTCCGTCGATCTCACGTTGTATTAGTTGACATACTCGTCAGATTTGTTTTTTCGGTGGCTTACAAATGAGTCGAGCGTACGACAAACTATGGAATACGCCATCCCACGCGGGTCTGCTACGACTAAGCACTAGTTCTTATGAACTTATCAGCTTAATTGATATTCAGGCTTTTGCTGCGGAGCGTGGGGAACTACCTCAAAGGCCTACAATTTTGGATGTTGTTATGGAAGTGCGGATGAAACCTTTCCATGAACTATCCCGCATGGAAGCAGGTCCATAGGAGACGTTTCCATGCTTGATCTTATTATTTCATTCGAACTTTTTCAATAGCCACCCTCATCCTACTCTCAACTTATCCGTCTTTATAGCATTTTGACCGATCTAACACCCACATCACTTATCTGGAGACCGTTTTGGATTATTCATACAAATATATCTTTTGAGGTTCTGTTGTACCAAATGCCCAGACCACCTAGTTGGACTGTATCTCGCACGTTCGAGAAATACACAGCTTATTTGTGCGTTTCCCGGAGTTGTCCATTAGTTCTTATTGAGCCACTCATCATTTTGTTGTGCTCATTGATTCCATGAGCAGTAGGCTCGTGACTTTAAACGACAAGACTTCAGAGTACGCAGCTACCAAGAATATCATTACCTTATATGGGGCCTGATTGGACGTTAGCGTATTCGTTCATGTTTTGTGACCACAATTACCATGTTTATTTTCCAGATTTCCTATAGTTCGCATACTTCTATTCTTCCTGTCTTACTTTTCTCTTCCATTTCTCAACCAGGCTCTCGAACGTGTCGGTATGTCGCCCTTTTTGCCATTTAGTTTTCTTTATTTTTGGATATATTAAATTGTCCCGAAATCATTCGAATTTTTTTTAGCACACTTCCAATCAATATTTATTTCAAACAAGTAACTATATTTAATCAACGTAACATCCATTGTTATCGACGATGTACTGCCAACGCTTAAGCAAGTTGTCGATGCCTCTGGTTTGGTTGTCAAAGTATTGGTCAAGGTATGTTTCAATATGGTTGCGGTCATGGACTCTCTTGTCCTTGATGTGATTTTGCAGCGAGCGGAAAATGTGGTAATCAGTAGGAGCAAGGTCCAGGCTATGTGCTGGGTGCATAAAAGTTTCGATACCGAGCTGCTGAGTTTTGAGACGCGTCATCTTTGCCACATGAGGGTGTGCGTTGTCATGCAGGAGAATGGTTCGGGTCGCTTTTGGACGCTTTTTTCGGTGTTCGTGGACCATCTTTAGCAGTTGTTGACAGTAGACATTGGCAGCAATAGTGGAGTTGTCAGGTATCAATTCCCAATAGATGACGCCGCGGTGATCCCACCAGACCGACAGCAACACCTTTTTGCCGTATAGTTCGCCTTTCAAGACTTGTACTGGCGTTTCATCTGCTGCGATCCACTGACGCTTCCTGCTGTGGTTGAAATGGAGCACCCACTTCTCGTCTCCAGTAACGATATGGTTCAGCCATTGATGATTGTGTCCTCGGTTGAGCACCGGAAGTGCGATGGCACAACGGTTCAAAAGCTGCTCATCAGTCAGCTCATGTGTTACAAGTTGCCCTAGCTTTGGGAGCATTCCTGATTGCCGCAGATGGCCGGGAACGGTGCTTTTTGGAAGGCCAAGGTGTGACGAGACTTCACGCACACTTTGACTCGCATCTTCCACTAGAGCGTCCTCGACACTGCTGTCAATGTCCACCGGCTTACGTCCTTGACCTCCGATGTTTTACACATCGTAGCTGCATGCGATAACGAACCCTGTAGCAAAAGCTCGAGGTGCGTTTGCCCATCTCCCCCACCTCTGGCGCAGACGTGACATTATTCTCGCCCTGAAGGGTAGAGTTTATAACGCAGCCGTCCGTTAAACTTTCCTATATGGTTGTGAAACATGGCCCATCAGGTCGACAGACATAACATCTCGTCACGTTCGATCGTCGCTGCCTTCGCAGCTTAGCTCATGTCTGGTGGGAGCACCGCGTGTGCCATGAGCGTGGTCGGCGTCACGTATTTGGCGCAAGAATAGCGAGTGAACCGCTCAGCAACATTATATCACGCACCAGGCTCCGATGACTGGGCCACTTGTTGCGCATGCCAGCACGCCGACTCCCGTCACGTGCAGTTAGAAGAGGAGGTGGGGAGGCCAAGCGACGACTTGGTGGAGAGGAATGAAAACCCTCACTTTGAACCTGGCGTCGGTTGGTGCATCCCGACTGCCTGGATGGAGTCCTAAGGATGATGAACACGTTTGGTTGGACACACTTGTTGACATGGCGAAGAGCCGGCCCCAATGGCGTTTGTGTTATGTTTCTTTGTCCATCCCCCTCTAGGTTTCCCCTCCAATCCCGATCTCATGCAAAACGCATAATATGATATGTAACACTATATTTTTATAGTGTACTTTTTTAGTCTCTTATCTTTCTGTATTGCTGCACATTAGCTGAGTTGTTTCTCACTCTCAGCGGAACCAAAATGCCACTATGCCGTAACTCGGAGCATCCGTGCCTAGTACACCACGCATGTTTCGATAAACCTCGATTGCTTTGTGCCCTTCTAGGTACTCGTACGATAAGTATCCGCGAACAGCTTGTTGATCACTAGCCAATACCGCAGCCTTTGCTAAAATGTTGACTAAATGGACAACGTTAGATTATTGCTCCAGGGTGTCCCCGTATGTACCCATATAAAAGAATCTTCTGGAAAATTCCGGGATGGGCTACAAAAAAATTCGATTGATGTCGGCACAACCCAGTAGTTATGATTGCTTTTGTGATCTGGGCCCTCCGAACTCATAGATATACTCTTATCATGATCATTAAATATTTTGGATATTTACACACTACATGAATTGTCCTACAGACTAACGAAATCCCGTTAAGCCTTCCCATTCGATCACGTTTCACACCCTGCCATTGATTAAGGAAAATGTGGCTTTTGATGCATTCCCTTTTGTTTTCTGGTACTCGTACTTGCACTACTTTAGTTAATATTTTCGCTAGTTGCCGCGTGCTCATTTACAGTTCCAATCACCATCTCCATTGGAACCCCGTTAGATTCACTTATTTGGCGCCTTCACACCCTAACTTCGCGGCGATGCAGTTCCTTCCTGCATACATAAATGCAATCATTGATCCGATACTCATCTGAACTCAGCGTATACTCATATCTGCTTCAAAGGAATGCTTACATCTGGCGTCATGCCACTCACTACGCCTTTTGTGTGAACAACAAAATAACTTTGCTTTAACAACGCACTTCGTCTATTCAAATGGTAGCTTGACTTGACGTATTGACCCTCTTTTTACTACCGTCTCCCACCGTAAACACGGTCAGATGATAGTCTCTGAAACCACCACAACAGTGTCACTTTTAGCGTGACTGTGAGCCACAGTACACAAGCACAGCTGTCGGTTTTGTACTCTTATCAGGATGCACACCTTCACTCGGTGTGGAAGCAGTTGCACGTCGTTAGCCGGTGGCATCTGGTAGCACGATTTCAGTTAATTCCTTGTTGTCCTATGTTTCATTGATGACAGTGATGTATCGCGGCTTCTCATCCATCGCCCGGTATTTCTTTGCTTTTTCACAGACTTTGGATGCCATCTGTATTAGACTTCTGGTCATCTGTCACGTGCCATATTTCTTGCTACTTTCCCGGTGTTTATCGAATGCACACATGTTTACAAACAGGTTTGCTTTATTATGACTGCCACTCCTCACTTTCACGCATTACTCATGTTTCACTCATTTGAATCAATCGACTGCTCTCCCCATCATGTTGTACTGTTAAATGCCATCCTTTTTCCTAAGGCAGGTTTCCGGAAGTCTGGCCGTCCCCTCAGCCCTTTCATTTGGTCACCGTTTTTTCTTACTGGGCGTTTTCAGCACGGATCCCCACCATTCATTGACCTCTTTATGGTCTACCATTTCATGCTTCACTTCCCGTGCGTGTTTCGCTTCCCACCGAAAGATTGTTACTTCCGAGGCATTCAGCCATATCATTTACATGTGTACTTCCGAGGGATTACAGCCGTAATGCTTCTTCGCATCTTTTTTACCCTTCCCTGTACCACACTTCACAGCAATACACATGGCGTAACGTCATGGTGTATGTTCCCTTGTCTGTTCACTCGTTACTTTAATCATTCACGTTAACGTTTCCTTCCGCAATCACAAGGCGGCCCTATACTGCATGCATGGTGTGTAAGTGATACAGCTGATATGACGTGTTCTCGGCACACAGTAGGAGACACCGCAGGCTATCACATGTCTGCTGACAACTGACTCGTAGTGAATCCCCAGTATGTCTTTCTGTTCCGGTTACTTCCCCCCCCCCACATTAGCAAACATGTCACCAGCAGTGATCATAACAGCTGTATTGTCGAGCACTATTGACAAGATTTCCAAATTACTATACTTTGGCTGCTTGTTTACTCGTCTCAACATTTGTGCATATCGGTTGCTGTGGTCCCTCCAGCAGTGTAGTCACACTATTTTTTATCCCGTCACACGTCAGCTATTACAGATACCCCGAGGTCAGACGAAGCAGATGTGAGCTCCTCTTCACCCTTCCCTCCTCATGTATCGAGGTGAGTATGATCCAGTGTCGCTATTTTGCCACCGATCATCCTGTCACTATTATTTATTGAATTGCATAACTTGAATGTTTCGAACCACTCTTTTGAGCTGACGACACAAGGGTCGATGTTCCAAATTGGTGTCCCTTAATCACATTGTCATCGTAAACTCCCTTCTTCACAGCAGCCTCTCCCGACTGCTACTCTTCTATCAGCCCTTGATGTAGCCGTGTGGTAGTCACACTTCTTCCTCATCGTGTGCAACAACGGAAATTTATCGATTCATTGGCTGTGTTTCTCTCTACATTTGACCTCTATGCTTAGGTTCGACGGATACTTAAACATCGCCATTCTTACCACTAGCCTATCATGACCGTCTTCATTGTGCTTGATGGTGTCTATCTTAGAACGGGGTACCGGAAATATTCCTCTCCATTCTGAAACCTCTGCATCACAACTTTCGTGGCCCTGTAAACGTCTACGGGAAACTGTCCCGAATGCATCACAACAGGTGAAGTAGATCAGTGCCACCCTGTTTCTCCGTTAGTCCTCAGCTTTGTCGCCCAAATGTTCACGAGTGACTCTCCGCCTTCAACATATTGGAATAAGCATAGAACCGGCTGGGGCTTCATACTTTTGGATGGTTTTAGAGTACAAACCGATTTTGCACAGATCTGTATTGCGGCTACCTTTTGCTCTCGACATGACCTAAAAAGCTTTCGTGTCATAAACGAAGCGTCACCATGGTTGGCGGCATCCGGTTTCGGATTTGCCTGTCACTGTGGTCAGCCACAGGACGCCTGCGCCCACAGAGGGATCATGGATGGCTTGCGCTGCACCACCCACAGCTCCATCCACACACCCCATATCCAGTGTAAATCCGAAGGAATAAGACCGGGAGACATGTGGATGGGAGCCACGTTTCATCAACGGAGCCGGCCCACTCTCCTTCACAGGCAAACACAAGCACACTGTATTTGGGGAATCAAGCGCACACAAGGCGGTGGCTGGACCGTAGTCCGCTCCACACTGAGTGCATGGAACCACTCTTGGAGCCTAGCACGGCCACAAGGACCGTGCACCCCGTCCCCTCCAGCAACGACCATCTGTCTCCTGGAGCCAGTATGGACGAGGTAGTGGGTAATGGACAGGTAGGCACCTTGTCAACATGCACATCAAGCGCAGCCACACCGGGGATATCAAACAACAGCCAATCATTCGAAGTGCCGATACCGATTAAAGTAAACACATATAACGACATAAATACTCGCTAAATGAGCATATAGAAGAAATTGGTTATAAGTGAATCCGTGATAAGTACATAATGTCCGAAAGTTATTTAAAAAATACCACGCGATAAAATTACGCAAGTTTACCACAATTTGCGTGAGCGACGTGTGCAAGTAAGGAGAGGATTATGAAGTACGCAGAACAAACCAAATAACATGTAATAAATTTTATCCACATCAAAAGACTTAGTTTAAGTGTAAGTTGGTTTAGCCCAACTGCGGTGAAGAAGCATCATGAATGCAACATCAACCTCAGCATGCAACCTCACCATGCAAGCCTACATAAAGCCGATATGTTTTTTTTAAATTGTTCCGAACTTATGACTCTCTGACTTCCATTTCCGGGATCGATGTTCTGTTAGACAGCCATATGTTTTATCCAGATTGTACGGATTGAGTCAGATGCAGCTACTATGCAAGCGTCACTAAATAGGCTGACACATTGCACTGCACACGCCTTCAAAGCCAAAATTAGTGTCGCGGTACTAGATCAACCGTCACCACTTCCTGTCATCATCAAATAATCTCTTGAAACTGCGGATCGGTTTACTTATCTTGATGGCTGTTTCACTTCTCATGGTCATTTCATCACCAAGGTTACCGCATCCATTACTAAAGCTCGTGCGGCTTTTTATGCCTCAGTCATTAATCCATATGGCTTGCCGTATGCGCTGCGGTACTGTTGTATTGACTGACCGCTCGGCCATTGAGGGCTGTGGGTAGAAGACAGCGTGTTTTACTGCCGATGTCTGTGAAGCATTACCCATAGCTAGTGTAGAATCGACGGTTTAATATATAGACATAGGTAGTGAGAGAAAGGAGTTGATGCTGCTGAAAGTCATCATTTAGTGTGTGGCACAGAACTCGCTGGTGCCTCACTTAAATGCCTGTTTAAATTAATCCACCTTCTTTGTCTCGGTCATGTATTCCATATGTTTACTGGCTGGTTGCCTCGGTGCGTATTGTTTGCGACTACTGCCCCTAGTTGGACGAAATCCTGAGGTGGCCACTCGTTGAACTGGCAAAAGATCATGAGAAAACTCACCGAGCGGCTGCGTCAATTCGTTTTTTTTCATCTTCCTTGATTGGGACCTCGAGACAAGCCACATTAGTGATTGGACACCCTATTAGCTACGGCACGTTAACACCGACCGCGCCATCCGACGTTTTAAGTCCCTGTTCATTCTTTTCGAATTGTAACTGGTGGTAGTGGTAGCAGTGGTATTTTGGCGATATGCATCAAGACAGCTGAGTTTATCTCACCTCAGTACACGGGTCACATGAATTGCCTGGACTGTACTGAACTGAAGTTTGAACAGAGTGTCTTAGTGTAATGTTTACGACCGGTCACTTGTTGCTTAGATTATCGGCATCCCATTCTGCTTTACAGAGGTAAGATGCCCCTTACTGACGGGCTAATGAGTAACTTCTTCAAGTGGCGTTTGCCGTTACTCTTCTCTCTGTTTCCTGGGTCATGCCTTCGGTTCACCCACTCAGGTGCTCCCTTTGAATGAACAAATGGTGTGACTAGATGTTTCGCGACATGCAAAACTGACCATCACCAAAATCCCGACTTGCTGGTGTCGGATTACGCATATCGTGTTGCTATACACTATCAGCACTTCCGCAGCGGTAGCACATCTAATGCATTTTTGCACTTGACATTTGTATCCAAATGATGTGTACGCTTTAGCTGAGCTTGATGCCTGTCGTAGTGCCTATTAAGTCCAATACCGCAACCTCGACTACTGTGGCCGACAGTCTGCTTCCCACTACTGGGAGAGTGGGAGTGCATAGTCTTCGTGGTAGTGTTAGGCTCCAAGGTTTGTCCCATCAAAGGACGGTCCACAGTCTAACCACCACCCTGCGTGCATCTGCTACGCATGTTTCCTCCAAATTTCACCCTACTTATGTGCATTTGAAGAAGTGTGGGTCAATCCCAATGTTATTGTGGTTCCCATCCCGATCTCTACTAAGTTTAGTTTCTCGGATTTAAACTGGGTGTGAGTAGCGCTGAGTGGTGCAGTGTAGGCCACCCTGTTTCCCCATGTAGATAGCAAAGTATGGTTACTAATCTGTAAGCGAATCTCACTAAGCATGCTGTGACACTTCAGTCGTACTCGAACGGATGTCTTCAGACCCTGTTTAGTTGGACAATATTTTAGCTATTTTATGGTAGCCACCTCTATTTTGCTACCTAACAGATTGCTCCCCAGTTTTTTTGTTTCCAGTCATGATTCAGACATCAGTTGGTTCATCCATTCAGTATTGTGTGACAGACCACTCAAGTTAACCACTTAGTATGGTAAAATAAACATTCCACTCTTTGCTGGCATATACGTTTTCACGGGCTGCTATCAACCTTTGCTATATCTGCTGCATCATCTACACTGTTTCGCATTTTTCAGCGCCAGTTCTCCTTCTCCTCATCCCAATCAGGTATGTTTGATTCATGGATCTCCACCCTCGTTGCAAACGATTATTCGGTGTGTATCACTTTAGCGGTAACTCCATAATCAGCGTGCTTCTCAATGTTTCCCTTTTCGAACAACGCTTCCCTTTAACTTCAGCAACTGCACAGCTTTGCGGCATTTCTCTCATACTGCCCATACTATTAACAAACACCTTCGACGCTGTGGTTATTATTGATGCGAACCCGTTAGAACTCTTCTGCGGTTGTCCCCAGTCATAGATGTATCATCTATTTCTATCGGAAAACATACGTGGATTGTTCCGCGTTTTCTACTGTCGTCTATGATTAATCTCATGCGAATCTTTGTACGGCTCTTTGGTCAAACTCCATAGCTGAGTTTGCTTCCCACTACTCTCTAAGTCCGCACACTGAGTCAAAGATGAGCACTCGCAGTCCTAACATACCACCTTTCGAACTAGGAGGTCGAATGCTGTCTTTTAAATAAATAAATAAATTTTTATTCTCGACAATGCGAGACACGCCTTTATAGGCATGATCATATTTAGCTTACATAATGTGATCAAATTGTACAAAGGATATGTTTGGCATAACAGTGTTTGTAAGTATATGGGTGTATACACGTGTGTAATTGTGTAGGAATGTAGCTTGTGTTTTTGAATGCGCCGCAGAATTCTTGACTGTTTGTTATCGTCAAGAATGTGAGAATAAGCGACTGATTTTCGTGGGTTGGATAGCATTTTCCGAATATCCACGGGCCAGTGACTTTAGTTTGTGGCGAGTCACATCCGCCACGTCGCAGTGTTGTTAAGCAGACATTTGTGACTTTTTATAGTGAGAACGCTTGTCAGGCGAAAACCCACCACGTCCTGGAACACTGCCGCCGAACTATTTGCTGGAACGGGTTAAACCCGAACCACCTAGCTGGCACCACGAGAAGGTTGTTCGGCTAACCAGCCAGCAGAGCCCTGTTTCTTTTTTTCTCAACCTACCGTTCCTCTTAGTTGAACTCGCAATAGGCTGCCCTTGATTTCGTTAGCAATGTCAACTGCGCAGCTTAGTCACCATCTACCGCACGTTGGATGTTTTAACGTTCACCGCATACATGAAATCAGCCAATAGAGTCAACTTTTGCTTTCATTTTACATCCTCTTGAACTGCTGCAGCATTTGAGTCCTCGATTGCTCTGCCTGTAAGAACCCGTGGCAGGCGGTAATTGTTTATTACTAAAGTCGCTTATACTAGGTGTGTTCGTTCATACATTGGATGCGTCCGCTCATCTGCGTGATTTCCATACAGTTACTTTGGAGGCATTCGCTCCGCTCATCCGTGATTTCCATAGTGTTTCCCAACTGGTGCTCGTCTCTGTGTCCGAATGCTATATTTTGTCCACAGAGCTCTGTTTCCTTTTTTTCAACCTACCTTTCCTCTTAAACTCGCAATGCGTTGCCGTTGATTTCCTTAGCAATGTCAACTGCGCAGCTTAGTCGCCATCTAGCCCACGTTAGATGTTTTAACATTCACCGCATGCATGAAATCAGCCAATAAGGTCAACTTTTGCTTTCATTTTACATCCTCTTGAACTGATGCGGCATTTGGGTCCTCGATTGCTCTGCCCGGTTCAGATTGATGGTAGGTATGTTTGGTGGTCGAACTGTTCGCTGAGTTTGTCACTTTTTTTTCATCCTCACTCTAGGTGACATCATCAGTGCGTTGTTGCGTAGCATCTAGTAGTATAGCGTAGGGAAGCCTCGGTGAGAAACTTTCCTCCGATACGCAACAACGCACTGATGATGTCACATCGATTGGTGATCAAACGTCTGCAACAAAATTACCAAGTGCGAGATGAGGGCTTCCATTCCTCTTGACCCAGTCATCGCCTTACCTCTCTTCTTCTTCTTCTTCCATCCACACCCTAAGCATGAAAGCAACGCACGACGCAGGAATCGGAGTGCTGACATGCATAACAAATGGCTCAGCCATCGGACCTTGTTACATGAAATATAACGGTGCTGCGCGGTTCACTCACTCTTCCTGCACCAAATACATTACGTCGAACACACTCTCTGCTCCCGCGGTGTTCCCACCAAATGTGAGCTAAGCTGCAAAGGCAGCGATGATCGAACGTGACTAGCCTCTTTATGCCCGCCGATCTAATGAGCCAGGTTTCACAACCGTGGGGCATGGTTGAACGCACGGCTGCACTGCAAACTCTCTCCTTCAGGACGAGAGTGATGTCACGCCTGTTCCATAAATAACGAACTTGAACATTAACTCCTATAGCTTTTGCTGTACCGTTTCTCACTTCATTCTTTTCTACAATCGCCGATAACTACTTACCGTGGTTAAGCTTTTGTACTTCTAGTTGATCCCCACCAAGGTTCGGTGCAAGGAATGGGACCCTACCAATCTTGAAGGAAAGCTTTGCATTTGGAGAGTGCAAAGCATAACCAAAATCAACTTACAGCCAGTGCTAACCTGTTCATTGCTGCTTGCACGTTTGTGTGCTGTCAAAGATGAGGGCAGGGTCGTCAGCATACCCCAGGTCAAGAAGTCGTTCACCTGAGAGCAAGTGCAGTAAAAGCATTTTCCATACTTTTATCGGTGGCAAAGTTAATAATGTGAAGGATATTGTTCATCCCTGCCTTATGCTGTTGATGATATTGAAAGGCGGCAACAGCTTGCCATTAGCCCTTACTCTACTCGAACTACGTGCCTTAGGCGTTGCGATAATGTAAACATATTTCTCGGGCACAAACTCGATGTAGCCAGTTTTTTCCTCCGAGTTTGTCAATCCTAGATCGCGGTTCCAACGTACTCCATTTCTGCCCTAACCTCATCGGTATTTGAAATCGACTTCACGGTATATTAACCCTTTTGCATTACGTGATATGATTAATGAATACTGGTTAGAAGCAGCGAGTAGAGCTTGCTCTGTGTAGCTGCATCGGTCGTCACTCATGGACAAATGCCCTTTATATTGTGTTCCGCTCGATATATTTTGCGTCGGCAAAGTGTTTGTTCAGGAAATTCTTAAATTCCGACACTGAGTTTGCCTCTACTACGTGCTGTGGCAGGTCGTTCCATACATTCACCACTCTGCGTTCGAAACTGTGTTGGTGATTACTCGTTTCAAATCCGGTACGACAAGTTTATACCGATGTCCTCGTGTGCTGCTTGGTTTGCGCAGATGAAGCAGTTGTCTTAACATAGGGTAATCACCCAGATGTAATATCCGGTGCGTCATGATGAGGTCAACCTTCATTCGACGATAAGCTAGGGTGTACAACCCTAGTTTCTTACACCGGTCTTCGTACGGCACACCACGTAATTTGGGAATCAGCCTGGTGGCTACATGCTGCACTCGCTCAATCTTTTCTATCTCACCCCGGGTGATAGGACAATACGCGGCAGAGCCATACTCAAGCTTTGGTCGTATTATTGAGACGAAGATGCGAGTGGCAATCTCTTCGGACCAACTGCTGAAGCTGCGCCTGAGCGCCCAGAGCATACGAAGGCTGTTTTGGTAAAGCCTATTCGTATGGTCCATGGACTTTAGATCATATCGTGAGAGTACACCGAGGTCGCGCACAAAAGGCGCGGGATGTAACGATTGACCAGCCACCGTGTATGTTCGACTGGGTTCACACTTACCCAGCCTCATGAATTGCGACTTGACAGGGTTGATCGGAAGGTTGACCTCTGCAGACCACGTGGAGAGGCAGTCTAGGTCCTACTGAAGCAAATCATAATCATTGGGTGTTCGGATTGCTCTCCACACCTTCAAGTCATCTGCGAACAACGCGCAAGGGGATTGGAGTTGCTGAGGCACATCGTTTACATGGATCAGAAACAATATTGGCCCCAGTACAGTGCCTTGGGGCACGCCGCTGCTCGATGGATACCAGTCAGTTAGATGGTTGTCCACCCGGACCCTCCACTTTGGATCAACAAGGAAGTTCCTGATCCATTTGTGTAGTGAACCACCAACACCGCACACCCGCAGCCTGTCAAGGAGCACTGCATGATTTACCTTGTCAAAAGCCTTACTGAAGTCAATGTAAATGACATCGACTGATTTGCTTTCGTTCAGCGCTTGTAACCACATTCTTCTGGGGGTGATGTTAGACAGATGAGCATTGCCCATCAGTCTTCTCACCAGATCGAGGTAGGAGAATTTGTATATACCTTCTGTGATTATTGTGGTGGATCCACAGTCTTGCTTTCCGTTTTTTTGACAGCTTTTATTTTTATTAATACGCTTCTTTCTTAGACCATCTTAGGTGGATTTTCAGGCTTCAGCGATTTTATCCGTAGCAAAAGTTCTCAAATTGGTGGGTGTTGAAATTTGCCCTTTTCTTTACCAAATGTCACCTGACCTTTTATGAACACCATCCGATCTGGGCCTCATTACCACTGCTCCTAAACCGCTAGCAAGCTCACTATTTGTCCACATACTCAACTCACTGAATTCAGATAGTCTTCGGCACCAGTGTACGTTACACCGACCGTAAATCTACGTCTTGCGATGTGCTAGGGTAACGTCATAAACCTATATGACCAACTATGATCCACTTCCAATTTCGGATGGTTACTGTTAGCTCACTTCGTACAGCCTGTTTGCGGCGCCGTTTATCTTTGAACATTGTTCCAAAGAATCCCTTCCTATTCTGACGTTTCTATACTGGACCCATTGTAGGGCTTTTGGGAAACCATTCTCCGATTCCCGCATGTCTATGCTGACGGAATTCTTTGCTTTTTGAAAATATCCTGAATGCTTCTCCTATTTTTTCGAATCTTGGGCTTGTATCTTACCACATGACAAGCTGGTAGTAATTCTATGATCAGCATCTCCTTAATGCGATCAAGACACTAGACAGACTGACACAATGCGCTGTACATATCCATGCCTTCAAAGTGCCCAGTACTTTCACTGGACCGCAGACAATTAACAGGCCTCCTAGTTGCTAGAGAACCGCTAGAACCAATAGATCAGTTCACTCACCTGATCGGTGGTATCACCTTAATCAGTTGGCGAAGGATGCTACTACGCGTACCACTTGACTGTGAGTGTGAAGTGCTGCACTTTGCCCACTGCTACTGTGAACGAACCGGGTGCTTGACCGCTTTATGCTGAAGTCATCAGTCGAGTAGCCGCGTTTACTTACCAGTTGCCGCGAGACATCGTTTCTGTCTAAAGACAGTATCGATTCAGTATCTCTGACATTCATCTGTTACTTTTTGACAACAAATCTAACAATGCATCGGACTGCTGATTAAATTTTCTCCACCTACGTTGACTAGGTCACATTCCCCGAATAGCTCTCCGTCGCTCACTTCTGCGTGTATTGTTTACCAACACTTCGCCTTGTTGAATGCAGTTCCATGGTAGAGAAACGATGACCTGCACAGAGGCATGCAATTGCTGGTTGAGGGTTTGGTCGAACTGTTAATGTCCCCTTTGATGTAGTGTACGGGAACTGTCTTATCATTTTAAAGACTACTTGACATTGAGCAGTTGCGAAGCCGATGGCGCTTATCACGGGGTCTTGCTCGCAACGGTTAACCTGTCGTGTGACGACTAGGCCCTTTTTCATTCTTCATCGCTTGCTCTCAATTGTTAGCATTATTATTTACTTGCGAATACTGATACCTCCGTATCCAGACCATGCTTTACTTCCTGAACACAGTGTCAAATGTCGGTGGCGAAAGTAAACAGTGATGTCCCAGTTTCTGTTGCTTAGACGCATGAGCCCTTGCGTTTAGTGGGGAACTGGGGTTGAATTCCCTTTGAAGCAGCCATGCTTGTACTTCTTCCATTATTGATGATCAACAAAGGGAGTTTTGGCTGCACTCTTATCGCGTGTCACCGGAAAGATATATTCAACAGTACAGTGCATTGGCGAGGACCTACTGAAAGTCTTTCAGTGTCATTGGCTACGACGATGATAAGCAAGGTCGTTTGTCACATCTGTCCAATTTAGTTGATCAATTTGGTCTGTGCACCAAGGCAAGGTGGATCAATTAGTCTTGGCGCACATCACCAAAATAAGAACGACGTTATTCGTCTGGGTGATATACTAACAATAACAACACTAATAGTGCGAGCACAATTAAAGTCTTTAGGTGGAACAAATAAGAGTCCTAGATGAAGTAAGGAATGCAGGAGCACCGACTCCATGACCTCGCCATACTCGATAGGTTGTTTAACCACTGACATGTCTGGACCGAGGACCCCAACCGAGCTCTTTCACACTGTCATTGTTTATACACGTTACTGTTTTACGTAATTGGGCGCAGTGTTGGCACACAGGACACACGGATTCGGTCGATTACTAAGCATGGAGAGTACGTGACCTAGTCGGCGGAAGCTATCGAAATCAACGAGTTCTCCAATGTGGAACTGAAGTTTCTGTTATTAAGCAGCTGACAACGAACTCCAATATTACTCGTTCCATGCCCCGCTACCCTACCGGATATGAGCAGTGCTTCACAGGTACCATCGATCTAGCTTGGTCAGTTTCTTGGCGTCGTCAGTGCGCAGCGTCCAGTCTCTTCTCAATACGATGGGCAATGACCACATCGCAACATTTCCCTTGCAAGTGAGATTACATCCTGCTGTGTCTAAAGTAACATGCGCTTCGGAACGCCTCGTTATCCTTGCGGTAACTTCGCCTATTGTGGGAGCACCGGGAGGTGACACAGCTGCCTAAGTGAGTAAGCCTTTTGAGCGGCCCTTTGTTGACAATGTGAATCGGAAGACAGTATTCCGGTCCTGTGACATTATTTTGTAGTTAAAGCACCCACAGCATGAAGCGCTTTCATAGCAGCTGGGCCTAATCCAAAGAAAGCCCCATCGTTGTACTCTAACTTTGACAGTTGGTCGGCTAGCGGGCCGTTGCTTCTTAAGGAAGTGGAAGGGGACTAGGGAGAACTATCCATGATCGTTTCTATCGCAGTGGTAGAGAAATTGTCTTGATGCATTCAGGGCTCGGTTCTTTGTATACCATTACACGGTAATGGAATGTCGTGGTATGTGGATTTTAGTGTGGAAAGTAGCCTTCAGTTACATTATTCAGATAGACACTATCACAAACAGGAACCATCTACTTAGTCAGGATCTTCATCAAAACAACTTTAGCTGCCGTGATAGGCTGCTTGTAAGAACGTTGACATTCTGCCACTTGTCAAAGAGTGAAGATATGATCAATTCACCTTTAGTGTGGTGCATTTATTTGACCACTCCTCGACGCCGACAGCTTAACTGCCTGGTTACTGGCCTGTTTTTCATATAGTTTCCAACTGGATTCTTATCAGATATATCAAACTACCGGACAGGAATGATTGTTTTTCACGTGTTCATCTTAACGTGTCATCCATTAATTGATATCCGCAGATCCTACGCTACATTCCATAACTTGCTTTGAATTACATGCTTCTCTACTTAGTCCTCCATCTTCCTCGGCTTGTATGTGCGAGCCGTTTCTCCTAGCAGTTCTCGTCAATCTGAACTCGTCATACCACGTCGTACGACGCGCATGTAGCGGCAGGTTGTAATCCTACGACGCTTTATACGGTACGCTGCCACCAGCGTCTAATTCTACGTTTATGTCTTCTGTCCGGTTTTACCAGGTGTTGAATCGGATTGATTCATCTACTCGACCTGCCTCTCCCAACCTCTCCGGTCTGCGTGGACATCCCTCGGTAACAGATGATATTGTGGACTCAAGCAAAATAGAGGCCCCGGTGACTGAGAATGAAGTACTGTCCCTGAGGAAAGAGCGAGATGATCTGGTGCGGACCATCGAAGAAATGAAGTAAGTTTCCTCAATCTCAAGAATGCTTAATGCGCTTGATAATTTCTTTACCCAAGCTGTGACAACGCCATGCGCGACTTGTATTTCGGGCTCATGTTTTTTGTCCCACATGTCGAATTATGTTACTAACATCACATCAATTCTGTTTGACTACCGTACTCAGCGAACCACTACGGTCAGACCTTAGCATTGTTATCATTGCCAAAATATCTCCATGTTTACTCAGCGATGCTACAGTTCGTCAACTAAAGTCCCTTTTCAATGTGAAAAAATCGCATTCATTTGTCTTCTTGGGACGAAGGTATGCGATCTCGTAGCCTGATCGTTTGTTTGCCTCCCTCATCGTACTGCCTCGATCATTCCCACTGCACAAGCACTGCACCTGTTTAGACACAAAGCGTGCATTCCCTCCTCTGCGGGGTCACTTTGTTGCTCAATCGACCATTCGATGGGCTTCAAACGGAAATTGAACTGGCGGTCAACGCATGTACTTCAAGCTACATCCATGATGCACTTCGTCATTCGTATATATCAGATTTCTCCCTAGAATGAAACATATTCCATATTTCTCGGAATGCATGGTATCTGTGGTTGGTTTTCTATTTGAACCATCTGTTTTACAATTTATTAAGTTTTTTTTTAAATCCACTCTCTTAGTTTAGCAATCGCCTGAGAGGGATCATAGTGTCACAGAACGATAGGTGCATTGATTAAGTCGAATTTGCTTCCGAGTCCAACCCACTTTTCTGGAAACTAGCAATGCGAATAACTTTGGGGATGGGATGGTTCATACCACAGCTAATAACGACTATCTCTGTTACCACCATTTCCTATGCCGTCGTTTAGATTCTTGAGTTCGAACTCTTCAGGAATTTAGAGGAACCGGCGCTGCTCATGTGATTTAATAACGTGAACCGGATATTCGACACCTTCCAAATTGTCTGTTGACTGGGTTTGTGTATTACTATTATGTCACACAATAATGACACAAGCCGCTGAGTGGATTTTACGGATCGAACAACTCCGAAAGTGTGCACACCGCCACAGCCGTCTTCGTCCACTGCACAAGGCTTGCGATAGTGAAGCCGATAGTGCAGTTTTTGTATAAGTGTGTTTTACTTTATAAGTATCCCAAGCACTTTTGGAGGATACCTATACGTAATGGAGTTAGACTAACAGGTGCAGCTTTGAAGCGTCACACCCACAACAAATGAGACACGGTTCTTTCTCGAATTGATGAGCTTGAGGGCACCCGGTGTATCTACTCTAACGTATTGAGTGTGGAGTGCAGGCAGTTTGAGTCATTCGTTCAGCGAATTCTGGCGCGGCAACTGGAAGTGCGAATAGCCTCCTTACGGCGGGAAATCGCTTCAAATAAGCCGAGTAACTCATTTTCTTCTGATCCTAAAAGACACATGCGCAATTTCTTCTCTTTGTACTTAAATAGAGCACAACTTGAAGTCCTTTCACTCAATCCGAAATTCTGTTGCCCGCGAACCAGTGTACAACAGTTAGACTTGGAAGTCCAATTCGAAAATCTCTGTTCCCATCCTCTGCATTAGCAGGTGAACAATACAAATCAACATTGGCAAATACGTGCTACCAATACCTAAGGTACAAACTGACCATCAAATATCTTCTAAAGAACGATCATTCGTACGCTCTGAAAGAACTCAAGAACCGCTAAAATGTATTGTCTATGCCGGACAAATGAGCCGGGATTGTTCTGATGAACAAGTCGGATTATATTGAAAAAATGCATACCATCCTAGGAGACGCGTCAAAATTTCGAAAGTGCAAAACGAGGATGACAGGACGTGGACAATCGAGAAGACCATGACAACACTTTTACGCCGCTTGCGACAAGATAACATCATAGACTCTGATATCTTTGACTACGCCAGACCTGGTGCTACAGTGCTTCCGAGGTTTTATGCTTACCTATTATCCACAGAGAAGTGGTACCACTGTGGCCGATACTCTACATGTCCAACTCCCTGTATCATTTGACCGCTAAGTGGCTTGTCAAACGTCTTGAGCCAGTCAGGAATGCCATAACAAAGTACATCCTCCGGGACACTTTCGATGTTCTTTACTCAATGCGACAACTCCACCTAATTGGACGGAAGATGTTCTCGCTAGATGTGGCCTCACTGTTCACCAACGTTCCATTTAAAGAGACCATAGACTATCTCTGCGACTACATCCAATTGCACCGCCTCTTCAACAACAGTATTCTAGGTGACCGATTGAGGGAACTAATACTAGCATGTAGTTCCATTTGAATGGGTCGCTTTATCGACAGATAGACGGAGTAGCTATAGGTTCACCATTAGGACCACTACTCGCTGATATCTTCCTGAGAAAGTTGGTGAACACCAAATTGAATGAATGTATCCACAAGCTCATGTACTACGGCCGGTACGTTGACGACACCTTTTGTATTGCGGATAACCGGGTATGCATTAAAGTTCTGACAGCCCATTTCAACACTGCACACAACAACATCTTGTTCACCAGAGAACTTGAAAGTAACAATTCACTGCCATTCTTAGATGTCCAGATCACTAGGACACCAGACGGGACAGGACAGAGAAGAGTGCACAAAAGTAAACTTGGAGCGGCCAGTATATCCACTTCGCCAGTTTCGTTCCAATAAGTCAGAAACGAAACCTCGTCCGTTGTCTAACGGAACGATCGAGAAGGACATGCACGGAGGACGCGCTCTCATATGAGTAGAGCTTTATTTGGAGTATTCTGGAACAAAGTGTTTACTCGGACAAATTCATCCGGAAATACATGGAGCCACGAGAGCCAAAGTCCAACCAGTCTCCACAGAAAACGGTTGATCTATTTATCATTGCCTTTCAAAGGTGATGTGCTAGCGGAATGAGTCACCCGAAGGCTCTTCAACACCACCACGAGAACCTACTGTGCAGCTGATCTCATTGTCAGCTTCAGTACTAAGCCAGTCGTGAGCCAACAACTCAAAGACAGGATACCTAGATCGACTATTTCCGTTTGTGTTGTGTACCACTTATCTTGTTCGTGTCGAGCAAGTTATATTGGAATGACGACCAGGCAACAGTCTGAGAGAGTCCGGAAACATTGTCGGGCGTAGTTTCATACCAGTGTGAGAAGGACTGTAGTCAGCGTGGTGCTGTGACACTTAGCCAACTCGAATCACCAAATCCACGTGCGAGAGGCCTTCCAGCCGATCTAATGGATATATGGGCGCCACATGCGAGCACTCGGATGTCGCCTATTAACGACAGTGGAGGCGGTTGATATTCAGCTCTATAATCCCAACGTATGCACCCAAGAGAAGTTTGTCTAGACCCTTCACTAACTAGGGCCCCCAGCCGCCCTGTGCAACGACGCCGCTTTTAACCCCTCCATTAATGTTGCTCCAGCCAGTACCATCATTTAATCTCATTGACCGGATAATTCACTTTATTGATCCATCTTGTTTAAATATCCTGTTGTGATGTAAGAGCCTGATGAGAACCACCGAAAACATGCTCGTTCGCCCAGCTGTCTTTTATTTCTGATAAATTAGTATAATTCCCGTGCTATTGCTTTATAATGAGTAGTATCGAAAATTTCTCGTATTATCTCATGCTCTTTGGTGTCCTACTACGAGATCGTTTCTACACAACCAGCCTACATCACCATCTATGCAAACGGCGGAATATCAGCCTGTCAGCGAAAAATAGGATGTATAGTGCCGCCACAAGGCCTGTCTTACTGTACGGATCAGAGACCTGACCACTTCGCACTTTAGCCCCTAAACGCTTGGTCGTGTTTTATCACCAGTGTTTGCGGAGTATTGCTCAGCATCACTCACTGAGTGAGTAAGAAGCCTTCTGGTCTCACACTAGTTCTTGCTTACATCAACTGCTTACGTTGGATGTCTTGTCCTCCGTATACCCGTCAAACCTTCTTCCTCACGTACATTAGACACTGTGACTACACCAAGTTGGGCGAAACCACGAGGTGCTTACTCGGTGATGTGGAATTGACTGAAAGACTTGGTCAATCTGGCGTTTGCCGTCTTCGTGAATGGGTGGCTCTGGATGGTCCATATCAGTTTTTGGAGTCTCTCTTAGACATGTATTCGTGCTGTCAGTGGCGTTCCCGCATTCGGTTTCTTGCATCTAGCCGTTTATCTTTCATCCCGATTTCTGCGCACTTTTATCTTGACTTCATTTTATTCCTCTTCTGTTTGCGTTCAACGTCGCTTCCTTACCTTTGTTATTTATTCTTATTCTTACCGTCTGAATCATGGCAACTGGATCCAATGCAATTCGGGGCCCGGATTGTTGTTGTTCTGTTGAACTGTAAGGAATGTCTGCAGCCTAACAGTAACCCTCGATGTCTCCAAGAAAACGGTCATATATTTAATTTTTCCGTTGATTCAATACACACGCTGAAAAATAACCACGAAGGCACCGACATTTAGCAGTTCGCTGGGCATGTGACTACTGCAATCCAAGTTTTTCTTGTGACCAACTAAATCTCCGTAACTATTATTCGACCTCCGTACCATGCACGAATTTTCGCCTGGACGTCGTATTCAGGATTTCTCTCCATCTCACCCTTATTATGTATTCTGTTGCGATTCTGTTTGGTATCCACGCGTCCGATTAATATGTCACGTGAATGAAACAGCATTTCTTACCTGATCCTGTTTGCGTTGCCTGCATTCATCTGCTTTAATATCAAGCAGTGTTTGCACTCCAGTGATCACCATGTCTTTAGAGACCGTCTTTCGAGAAGCAATCGTTTACATCGACCGTCTTGCTTCTCCGTTTCCATTTCTTCGCTTGTATTTGTTGCCCCATACTTGGCATACGCACGAGAATGTCAAGTTCACATAAGGAGTATTATAGAATAGCCAGTCCTGATGTTACAGTGGACACAAGATATTGTTTTCCCCCAACCTCTTCCTTGCGATTCTAAGCTTAGTCGTAGATGTGACACATCGTTCCTTATTAGGAGCGGTGCTCCTCTCCAGGTTACTCCCCCTGCGCTTGTATTACGCTGCGGCAGTTGTCGAAATTCGGACTCAGTTTGTGTTCACATCTTCACCCATGCAATAATCTCATGCTATATTTTCTGACCTCAATTTGACCCATCAAAGACCAACGAGATGTCATGTAGGAGACAATTTCTGGCGAGGGATTTCCACACTGTTAAGCGTAATGCAACACTGCGCAACTGTCTATGGAAACCGAAACTTTCCACCTCTTGCCACACTGAAAGGAGGAGTTGTCGTACACTACATCCAAGCTAACTGGTACAAATGCGTCCAGTGTTTCCCATTTTAACTCCATGACGTGGTTTCCGCTACGAAAGAGATCACTAGTGTAGCAACCATACCGTTTTCTAATAGCATTGTGAAGTGTGGGAATTCACAACTTGTGATAACATGTCCCGTCCGCCACCACAGTACCTTTGCAGCGGAATACTTGATCTTCCTCTACACCTCTGAGGCACCGACGCCCAAGCGCTCGAATGTCCTCGAAAGTGTGGGCTTTTTCATGTTTAGTTCTGCTCATATGCAGATTTGTTGAGCGACGCGATTTATCTTGTTACCATAGGACATTGTATCAGTTAATCATTCACCATAATTCTCGTACACTGTTGCATCAGCTCCTTCTGGTAACATTAGCAGATGTCTGTCTGCACTGTCCGTTGGGTCAGTCAGCGCATTTCTCTCTCAATTTCCAGACTTTTTTCCTTTATACAAAATTTCGGTACATCTGTTTCCCTTTTCGATGCATCACTAATGTTGAATTTCGCAAATCGTTTACTTCCAACTACTCCATACGTTATCGCTCCGCATTGCGCTATCCCTGATCGCTCAATCTAGGCGTTGCATCGCTGAATACGATCGCAGTCTTCAACATCTAGTTGAAGAAAAATCTCGAGGCGACGCTCATTTGAACGTCTCCATGGCAGATCTAATGGCTGAACGTGATCAGGCCGTGGAAGAGGTTGCGACTATCGAGAAGGCTTTCGGTGATTTACACCGACGGTTTGAGAAATCGAAGCAAATCATAGAAGGGTTTAAGCAGGTGAGTACCGCCGTTCCGAAATATAAATTGACTCTATCAAAGGACTCGCCAATTGTTTGCATTCGTCACTGTTGTCGTTTGTCTTCTTTCTTCTCTCGCATTCCGTCGTTTTGCGGTATCATTATTAACCGCATAATTTTCGCTCCATTTGGCTCACACTTAGATTTTCAAGCCTTATGTATGTGGTGAACCTGTGTATCTGTTGTTGGCCCTAGCCCAGGGTAGGATACAATGGGGGACAGAACTTGTGTTCCGGTCAAACCTAATAGCCTCCCATATGAGTCTTACAGTCAGCGTCCGATACAGTAGACATAACTCTGAGCAGTGTTGGTTTTCACATTGAGACGGTAGAAACTGGACTTTGCCATGACTTCCATAATGTATGTCGGCGCGGCCACCTTAGTTGTTGGCCACTATGGGAAATTAGTGGTCTTGGATGTCTTGGTTTAACACTGGCAGTCATCACCTCTTCGCACTTGTCTAACCCAGTGCAAGGCCATGTGATGTAACACACATCCAGCAATTGGCACTTTTTGCTGCTACTTACTGTGCAGTTGAACTGTGAATACCAAACCGCCATCACTCCTCAACGCATAGTGACAACAACAGGGATTTCTTACTTACCAACGCTTGTTGCTAGATTGTTCTCAATGCAGTTCTGTTAGCAATCATATATATATATATATGTATATGTATATATATATATATATATTGCAAGCGTCTACGAATAGACATAGAGCCATCAGAAACCATGGGACTAAAAAGAAGGTACAGAACTCGTAAAAGAAACCACAACACAATACATCGGAGTCCATCGTTTCGTCAGAGGGCGAGATACTACCCGGTCGCCCAAGCCGAAGTAGGGTGTTGACTTAGGGGACACCACACCGAGCCTTTGGCCGAGTAGCCTGCCCGCAAGGCAGCGGAACGAATTCAGGGAATCGCGCCCATTGGGAGCCGGTGACTGATTGCTCAGTTCATATGCCTTTCGTTTATCAAACACGGCCCAAGTGCTCCCCAGAATTACAGCATAAAGTTGCTGGACTACAATGCTTCGCCAGAATAAAGCAAGGGGCAGTGACTTTATTTAGTGGCGGGTCACATCCGCCACGTCACAGTGTTGTTAAACGGACATATGTGGTTTTTTTAGGGAGATCGCTTACCAGGCGAAAACCCAACATCTGCTGGAACACTGCCGCCGAAGCATTTGCTGGAACGGGAAAAATGCCGAACCACCCAGCTGGCACCACGAAGAGGTTGCTCGGCAAGCCAGCCAGAAGATTGAATATTCGGCTAAAAGTGGAGGTTTTTATAGGCCACCGATGTGGGATAGCAGTATTAGGACTATGGGAAGACATTACGCTCGCTCTCCACTAATCTTTGGCTCACATATCTCATACTAGGATACTTCCTCCTTTCTGTTACTCTGTATACCTTTTCGTCCCACCAATTCGCTTTGGCAGTTTGTATGGTGCATAAACTTTGTACCGGCTCGACAGTACCTCCTACCTGTTTCGCTGCATCTGTTTCGATACAGGGGAAGATTGGCGTTAGCCTACGTACTTCAAATAACCGAGGCATCAACCACATTTTCTATTTCAACATTACCATCTGTATTTCGTGAATCGAAGTGAATTTACCCACCCTCCTGCTAGTTTTGCTATGTTCGGTGCGTTGACTGGCGCGCGTACACAGCAGAAGCAGATAAGCTGGAGCCTCAACTTGAGCAACATATTCTTGGATGGGGTCTCAGCAAGCGTGCTTGCATTTCATCTTTGGTCCTAAGCTTGAGACATGAAGGGGTTGTGGTTTTCAGCGAAGGCAGTGGCCTGAATAACTGGCATCAATGTACTTACCCCTTTATAACAGAGAACGCCTTTAGGTAGTGGCTCAAAAACTGAAGCGAACACGATGCGGATATTTGCGACCAAATTACTAATCCTTTATGACCAAACCATTAGTTGAGCTGTTTACTCTATTCTATCCACTTTTTTCAACCAGTACGTGGGTTCATTTTAATAGGGGTCCCTTGCGACACATGGTCATGTCACTCTGAGCTGACCCTAGTGATCATCGTTCGCTCATCCACCTAGTATCTACTCCAATTCCTATAGTTTGTACTATAACTTCGGAACCACCGTATTTATTGCCCAGTTAATACTCTTAACCCACTACGCTCGAGAACGTGTTCATATCCATCCATCCGGAATCGCCGATCTGAGCCTTGGACCTGCGCGTTTACTGAAACGAGTGTCACGGACTGATCTCAACACCGTCCTTAGTGCTGAAAAGGTGGAACTTGGTGTGGCTAGTTTTATCTCGAGGTTTAAAAGATTTCGATTGGTTAATTGCTCACCCTCATGTAACGCGTGCTACCTCTGTTTTTGGATTAGGGACTTCGGTATTTTTTCCTACTCTCCATTTCTACATACAAGGGGGAGCTATAGGTTTCCGGATGCACAAGTTTTATTTTTCACAACAAAATAAGCATTGCATTTCCTCGAAGTACTCTCCACCAGCGTTCATGCACAGTTCCATGCTCTCGAACAATTTAGGGAAGCAGCTAGACCATGTTGGAGCGCGTAACCCTTCAAGCAGCTCATTAAAGGCATCTACTGCAGTTTCTGGAGACTCGTAACGGATTCCACGCATCATGCGCTTGACATTTGGGAACACTGAAAGGTCACACGAGGCCAGCTTTGGACTATAGGTTGAGTGACCAACCTCCTGAATGCGTTCTGTAGCTAGAAAATCTACGACGGCATGGAACCCGCATGCAGGCGCGTTATCATGGTGCAGAAATGCCCCTACTTCTCGAGTCCTTGGAGGACGCCCGGCTATATATTCCAACACCTGTGGCAGGCAGTGGGTGGCATACCAGTCTCCGGTGGCTGTGCGTTGCTGTACTGGCGTTACAGTAGCCATATGATCGGTCTTGATCACGAACACAGCCACCATCTGCTTAGCCACACTGCGTTCACGCTGGAATTTCTGAGGCGGCGCCCCACCAATGGCTGTCTACCGAGCCGATGGTTGCTTGGTCTTTGGACCGAAACTGTATACCCAGGTCCCATCACAACTGAGGATCTTTCAAACAGCATTGGAACGTCCGCCACCAAGCCTGGCAAGCATGGTGCGGCACCAACTCACCCAAATTGCTTCCTGGCCGTCACTGAGCTGATGGGGCACCCAGCGTGCGCAAACCTTTCTTGGGCCGTGGTTCTCGTGTAGGATGGTGCGGATTAATTCCGATGAGCTCCCGATAGCTTTACCCAGCTTTACCGCTTTCACCCGCGCTTGCACAGCAGCAATGTTGTCAGCGGTGGTCGATACAGACGTTGAGCGCGTCAAGGTCATGCTACTCTACCTAGCCTGTGGAGCTGCATTGTGCGCGCTAGTGCGTCAGTGTCCATCTCCCGACTAACCAGCGATGCCTATTTTATTGGTTCAAAAGCGAGTGCTTAGCTAAACATTTGAACTGCGTAAAA